AGAAAAATATCCATCGATAGAATATTTGACATTCTTTACTGAACGTCTAACATTTAATAATTAGGTAGGTACATTATATTTAACGAAGAGGTGGTACACACACACACACACAAATTTACTCACGCATATTATGCGCAATAATAACGCATTATTGTGCTGATACCAATGGTGGTTCAGATAACCCCACTAAATATAACGGTTGTGGTACCTTATAATTCTCTTTATAATTAATAATCTCCGTTGTCTATCAGGGAAAACAGTGTCGACTCGAATGTGTACAGTGCGCGTTGTTTAATATTYAGGATTGTGTACAATACCGCCCACACAATGTATCAATTAACGTCCATCACCGATTGTAGGATATACATCGCCACTGCGTTTTTGATCGCAGTGTCGATCACCTATTACTTTTCCATTTCAACGTTCGATAAATGGAAAAAACTCAACGTGCCCTACATCAAGCCAATTCCGTTGTTCGGAAACTTTATGAAAGTAGCTTTGGTCAAAGACCACCCGTTAGAGTTCTTTGATAAAATCTATTACAAGTTCTCCGGTCTGAAATACGGAGGACTATTCCAGATGAGGACACCGTATTTGATGATTCGTGATCCAGAAATAATCATTAACGTGCTAATAAAAGATTTCTCATATTTCCCCGACCGTGGTATTTACTCGGATTTCTCAAACAATCCATTGTCGGAAAACTTGTTCTTCATGGAAAATCCTCGATGGAAAACAATAAGAAACAAACTAAGTCCTGCTTTCACATCGGGAAAACTCAAGATAATGTATGACCAGATCAAAGAATGTGGCACTAAATTAATGGAAAACATTGATGGCGATTTAATGGGGACAAATGGCGAAATAGAAGTAAAAGACACCATGGGAAAGTATTCGACTGACGTCATCGGCACTTGTGCTTTTGGGCTCAAGTTAAACGCCATAAGTAATGATGAAAATCCATTTCGTAAGTACGGAAAATCGATATTCATACCTTCAATGAGAATGCTATTTAGAGAACTGTGCCTGATGGTTACACCCACACTTTTGAAAGTCGTAAGAGTGAAAGATTTTCCACCAGAAGCAACTGACTTTTTTCACGAGGCATTTAAAGAAACGTTGACGTATAGAATTGAAAATAAAATTGTCAGAAATGACTTCGTTAATTGTTTGATGCAAGCGAGAAATGATTTGACTTTAAATACAAATTTACCAAAAGAAGGTAAATTTTTTATACATAGAAAATATTAAAATTAAATAAAGTTCTAATTGTATACTTATCAAATTTTAAAATTGTGTTTTAGAAAAATTTTCGGAATCACAAATTGTAGCAAACGCTTTTGTAATGTTTGCTGCTGGGTTTGAAACAACGTCCGGTACTTTAAGTTATATATTATATGAATTAGCGTTGAATGTACCTGTTCAAGAGAAAGTACGTCAAGAGTTTCAATTGAATTTATCCAAAAATAATGGACAAATTGACAACGAATTTTTAACGGGGCTTAATTACATGGAAATGGTTATTGCGGGTAATTAATTATTTTGATATAATTCTTAATTACATTGATCAGTATTAATGAATCAATTTATTTTATTTTTATTTTTTTGTCAGTAGGTGACTTGAAAATTAAATAAAACTAGTCTATTAAATCAATAATCATAAAAGTCGATTTTCGTTTTCAAGTTTCAATATTATTYTTCATTTTAAATTAATTAATTATCAGATAAGAATGTATAGATCAAAATTTTTTCATGATAAAATACATTCTTCAAAAGTTTGGTCAACTAGGGAATTATATTTTTATTTTTTTGTTTTTTTAGAAACGCTGCGTATGTATCCTCCTTTAATTGCTTTGTTCAGAAAAGCATCAAAAACATACCGTTTGTCTGACGACCTAATACTGGAAAAAGGCCAAAAAATCGTAATTCCAATTTATTCGCTGCATTTCGATAGTAATTATTATCCGGATCCGAAAAAATTCGATCCTGAAAGATTTTCRCCTGAGGAAAAAGCTAAACGTCCCAGTGGTGTTTATTTGCCGTTTGGCGATGGACCTAGAGCTTGTATAGGTATTAATAAATAAATTAAATAATTATATTTGTTTAAATCATAATATTTTTTATTTTTTTTCAATTTATACGTGAAATTTATATTTATTTTATTTATTCTCTAGGAAAACGTTTTGCTGAGCTGGAAATTAAATTGGCTTTAGTTGAAATTTTAAGTAAATTTGAAGTTTTACCATGTAAAAAAACTGTTATTCCTCTAAAATATTCTAAAAAAGTTTTAACATTGATGCCAGAACATGGAATTTGGTTAAAATTTAAAAAAATTGCTTAGCTTTAGAATTTTTGAATTAGTTATGTACTGAAAAAAAACTATCAGTTCGTAAGCTGTTGAAATTATATGGTTTTGATTTTATACAATTATTTGTAAAATTTCAACAATATTTTAATAATATGTTTTAACTTCTTATAGGTACATAATATTTTTTAATAACCTTAAATAACAAATCATTAATAGATTTATATCTTTTGTGATTTGATTAATATTTTTATTTTGTAAATTATTGTGAAAGAATAAAAATGTGTTTTTTTTATTTCGAATGTAATAATCTTTGAATTTTTATTGAAAATYAAGTTTAAGTAGTTATTACGTATTCTGTAGAGGTAATTGTCTCAACATTTTACGTCTGAGAAAAGTGTTAGAAAAATCTTTGTTGTATTGGTTTTGTATATTTAATAAAACTCAAACTGAAATTTAATTTTAAATGCAACAGAGCATAAATATATCAATTTTTTAGTATGACACCATTCAAATTTAACATATAAATAATTGTTTGAGAAAATGAGCGACAAACAAATAATTGTATTTGTCCATAAGAATTTGGAATTTTTGTACTAGTCAATGAGATTTACAGAAATAKKAAATATTTATTTGAATCATATCACAATGTATGATCATTCAAAAATGTAAAAAATATTTTAATATTGCAATTTGGTTTGTGAACATTTTCTAATACATCATATGTCATATTTATTCTACTCTTATGTTTTATAGTCTCTTTTTTCTTATTCTTGCAATATTAAAATTTTTGGATGCTTACCTACATGCAGGTTTACGTGAATAAATGATATATTATGGTATATAGTTAACATAAGTCCAACTGTGACAGAAACTGTGTTTTTCATATTTCGGATCGATATAAAATGACTTTAACTCATGCTAGTAAATAATGAATTGCTAAAGCAAATATCATACACTTAAAATATGAACAATTATAACACTTAATATGTTATGGTTCCTTAAAAAATCATTTAAAAGATGTATTTTCATTACAATACCATTATTTCATTATTTCGTTGAGATATTTATATTAGATAGATATATAGATATTGATATTTATGTATAGTTTTAAAATCGTGTATTCGTTTTCTGAGAACAAACTTCTAATTATTGATGAAGTTTACTATATACTGTATACGAGGTATATATCTTTTCATAGATGGGTATTACATTGTTCTATAAGTGTAAAAAATATTGAGTTTCCAATTATAAAACACAGCTCAATGAATATGCTCTTTTGAATAATACTGAACTATTATTGTAAATCTGATTCTATTATGTACATATAAGTACTATTTCAGTGCCGTCGGGTGTTGGTCGTTAAGATAACAATTWATGATTKATGCAATAAAATACGAGAAAGCTATCGATTGACGGTTAGATGAGCAATTATTGGCTGTCCAAAAAAACACCTGGATAATATACATATTTTATTTAATTCATCAAAGAATTAAAAAAAAAAAGTTCAAAACTATTATATATTTTCAAAACATAATCAGTCAGCTGGTTGTACCGTTTCGAAAAGCTCTACTAWTCAGAACCAGCATGTGGGTTCCACCGTAGGTTCGAGTCCCGTGGATGAATATAGATTATTGACATTTAATATTTTATTTATGTGTACYAATTATTAATAATTGAATTCATATTATAATAGACAAGACAGATATTATTTGGACTATCATAAAGTATTTTAATTCCATCTACCTATTTAACAAACTTTTGTTTAAAATGTATTTTATCTTATTTTACATCATTCAATTTTATTGTTATATTTTTCTTTACTAATGCTGTATAAAATGTAACAATTATTTATGTACAAAATACATGATTCTACAAATKCTCATTACTATCGAATGCCCATTTCGTTCTTACTAGTAACCTAGAATGGGTATAGAATCGACTGTTTAAAGACCTATTCCATACTCACTCGAATCACTCGATGGCTAGACAAATTGGATCTCCAACTTAKGTAATACAAAATATATTATTTTAATCTATTAATTATGAATTATATGAATGATGTGAATGATGTGAATTTTTTACCACTGATATTATTCACTATAAAGTCTTAATAAAATTAGAGAAATAAATGAATTCAGAGTGCTCAACAATTTTTTTACACGTAAGTACATTGAAGAATGTATTGCTTTCTAGGATAACCAATAATCTTTGTATATTTTCAATTGTTTCATTTTTACCAACTGTGTAGTGTGTATTCAACGGTCTATTTTCTTATCATACACATTATTTTTGTCTTACCTTTGGTAGAATTTAATCGTTCGTAAAAAATGCAGTTAATTTAAAACAAAATTCCTCATAAATTGTCATCGCTATTAATAAAAACAATATTAATAGTACCTATTTACTTCTTTTTTTTATCAAAACTCATCAATAATTGCAAATTATTTTGTATTTAAACATTTTTMATTTTAACACCTAACATCTAAATGATACTTAATCACCTAATTATTAAA